TTTGCAGTTGAAAGAAGAGTCTCTGTAATCTGGGTGGTGTGTCTGATACCCCTTTCTCTTCTATAGTTACCAAAGATTCATGATCAATTTCAGTTGTCACAGGCATCCCATAAATGAATATATGAAATTTATTACAGCCATATACCAGAGCTAAACTTTCATTCAATTCGTGCATATACTCTGACTTAGAGAGTGCCCTAGATGCATATGCTACTGGTCTCCAGTTATCCCTATGTTTTTGATGCAAAGCTGCTCCAGTGCCTTCTTTAGAAGCATCTTTGACAATGTGATGGATCTTTTAGGGTCATAGTATTTCAGTACCAGAGCTTTCATTATTTTTTTCCTCGAGTTTTTAAATTCAGCTTTATGGTCATCTTCCCATATCCACTAAACATTTTTTTAGGAGTGATCTCAGGTGTTTGGTCTGCTCTGATAAGTTAGGTAGATGTTTTTCTACAAAGTTGATCATTCCCAGCAGTCTCTGAACTCCTTCCTTATCTGTAGGGGGTGGCATGTTTGTAACGGCTTTAACCCTTGCAGGATCAATTTGTACCCCCTTCTTAGAGAGCTTTTCTCCCCGATATGTTTTTTTCTTTGACCCTCAATTTGCATTTTTGTTTGTTCAGTTTCAAATTTTCTCTGTGAGCTCCTTCTAGTGCCTCTCTCAGCCTCAAGTCATGTTTTTCCAAAGCATTTCCCTAAACTAATACATCATCAATATAAACCATAGTTCCATCAAGACCTTCAAAAATTTGTTGCACCTTTCTGTAAAATACTTCAAATGCAGAACATAATCCAAAAGAAAGCCTGTGAAAGCAATGCCTTCTAAAGGGTTTATTGAAGGTACATAATCTAGTGCTATTCTTTTTCTAGGGGAACTTGCCAAAACCCAGACGAGACATCCAAAGTGGAGAAATATTTAGCTTTTGCCACATTGCCAAAATCCTCTCCCTTGGTGGGAATGGGAAAATGTTTGATATCCCTGTTCATTTGCTTAGGATCCAGACAATATCATGGATCCATCTTTTTTCCCCCTATTATGACCAGTGAATGAACCCACGTAGTTGGTTGTTCTTCTTTTTCTATTATGTCCATGTTAACTAATCTATCTAATTCCATTTTAAGTTTCTCCCTTAGTACAAGGGGAACATTCTTGGAGCATGCATGGTGGGAGTATTTGGTTCTCTTAATCCTATCTTGTACTCAGTTGACAGCTTCCCTATGTCTTGAAACACATCATAAAACTCTTCTTCTATGTTCTTGCTTTCTAGTCCCTCACTGGCATCCATTCTCTTAAACCTAGAGTTTTACATGTTCCCAACCCAATAACTGGCACTAGCTTTCCTGGGACTGTTACAAACTGAACTTTTACTGTATTATCCTGCTGTCTAACATGCAGTACACAAATGCCTTTGGTTGCAATCATGTTCCCATTATATGCTCTAAGTCTCACTTTCTTATTCTCATAGTACACAGGTTTAGTTTTATTTTGTTTTAATAATGTATGCTGGTATTAAATTGGTCTGTGCCCCTGTATTTAATGTAAAAGTTACCATTAATCCATTGGTGTCCAGGGTGATTGTCCAATCATCAGAAGGATGAACTCATGTGTCAACAAGGAATTCTTCCTTTTCCTCATTGTGTAGAGCTTGCACCTGCTGTTTGTTTGTGTGGTGCATCCTGCTCCTTTCTGCAAACTCTTGCAAAGTGATTGCATCTTTTACATTTGTTGCAGTGCTTGCCAAATGCAGGGCATTGCATGGGTTTGTGGTAATCCCCACAGCATCTGCAGCTGATTGTTGTTTCTTCAAGCAAATCTCTTTGGCCTCCACTTGCCTGCTTCATAGTGAAGCCCTCCTTTCTGTATTGTTTGTGGGTTATCTTAGGTTTTTGCAGTCTTGTAATCTGGTCTAGGTCAACTTGTTCTGTCTTTTCCTCCAGTTTCTATAGCCTGTACACTGTTATCTCAGCCACTTGGCACATTCTAACTGCCATTTCCAAATTAAGCTGAGGATCCTCTAGCAGTTTTTCCCTAAGACTTGTATTCCTTATACCCAATGCTGTTTAGTCTCTGATCATGGACTCTTTTAGGTCTCCAAAATTGCATGTCTGGCTCAGCAGTCTGAGGTCTTTGACAAACTTCTCTATTGTCTCACATTCTTTCTGCTATCTCATGTAGAAATTATACCATTCAAAGGTTTAATTTTGTTTGGGTATACAATATTCCTCAAACTTTTTTATTATTGTGCCGTCACTTTTCTGTTCTGCTTCTGACTGTTGTAGGCTATTATAAAGAAACAGAGCTTCTGGGCCTGCTATATTTAAAAAAAATAGTTACCTTGAGTGAATCTTCCTTCTCTGTAGCTCCACTGGCTGTCATATATATGATGAAGCTCTTAAATTTCTTCCAGTTTTCTGTTACATTGCTGGACAGCTTTAACTCCTCTGGAATTCTAAGAAGCTCCATGTGTTTTGTCTTTCTTCATACCCTACTCCTGGTACTATGTGTTATTCTCAAAAGACCAAGTTCATCTTATAGAATGATAAAGCTTGTTTTTTCCGAGAGCAGTACCTTGCCTAGTTTAGCTGTTCCCACCTGCATTCTCAGGGCAAATGTAACAACTTATACATACCACTCTTAAAGATATCCACACAGTAACTAAGACCAGCAGTATGGCAACAGAAAGCAATAGTTTAGATGGACTGAGGGGATGAGGAGCTATTGGCCTGTGAACAGACAGTTTATGATGGGTTATTAGGAGAATGAGGAAATTAAGCAATTCTTTACAACTGTAATAAATAACAGAGTTTCAGGCCTTCAGAGGGGTGACTGCTCTGCAGGCCATCATACCTGTCAGTTTGGTTGCACTGTTGCATTCCCCTTTTTTGGACATCCCAGGGAGGAAATTCAAATGAGAAGGAAAAAGAAAAGGGGGATACAGTAGGTAAACAAACTAAAGAAAGAGAGGGGAATAAAGGAAACAAATCTGTAGAGACAACAGAGAAAATGGGGAGACAGAAGGGGTGGGACACCTGAGAAACATGCAGGAGACTTGTGAAATGGAAACTCCAGCATGGAAATGATGGCTTTGCTAAGGAGAATATATCGGTTTGACAGAGAGAAGTGTCAGGAATTTGACTGAGAGTCATTTATGTAAATGAGACTCTACTTGTTGAAGATACAAATCATTTGAGTATGACATCTTTTTCATAAAACCTGCAGTTTTCCAAATTTATAGCAAGAAAAGATGGGCCAGAGCTCTTTCAGTTGACTTCCTCAAGTCTTTCTGTAGCTCCTTCTTTTACCTCTTTAACTACTCTGTTTCTTCTCTTCTTCTCCTTTCTCACCTCAGAGGAATTCTACACCCACGGAGCTGCTAGATAACTCTTCTACACAGAAATATAGAAACATAGTTAGGAGGCGTTACCTTGGAGTTCTCTTCCCATTGTCAGGGACAGCTCGTCTGCCATTTAAAACTGTTTTTTGATGGCTCTGTAGTATCCCTGGAAGCTGTAACCTAGGAACTACTGCTGTTACTGACAAGAATCTTAGCTGATCATTGCAGCTGTGCAAAGAGGGTTCAAATGAAAACCTAGATGTGAGCTCTTTACACTTAATGTGTACAGGTGTAAATGATCATAAGGGGCCAGGCAGTGTTATAGCAAGTCTTAAGGGCTGTAAAATGTTTCCTTTCTGAGGACTTCTACTTCCTTCACAGAACACTGAGTTTCAGCCTGGTGTTTGCCTGCAGTTTCTAGGAGCTGGAAGTCAGTAGGATATGCAACTAAGCATATTGGATACGAAGGTGGAAATTTGCAAACCACCAGAAGAAGTAAATCTATCATGTGTGGATCTGAGCCCAATTATTGCAGTTTGGCCAGGTGTCAATGGCAACAACAAAAGCCAGATTAAACCTGGCTTCCTACCCGAGTCCCACCTTTTCTAACACAACTAAAACAATGCTTTAAGTCACTGCCTAGAGCTATACTTCCATTTTGGCTCTGGAAATAAATATTACCTCCTGAGTCACTCTGACAAGTGATCCATTCCATTTCCAGATTCTCAGAGTCCTACAGTGTGCAAAAGCACAAGTCCTTTTTCTCTGGGGAAGAAGAACAAAATCAATATGATTCTATATATTAAAATTATACCTAAATATAATTATATGCAACTAAATGAATAAATCCAAGTGAGTGCATGAGGAGTATGGCCAAGCTCATGGCTCTAGGAGGAAGCTGAGTGGTTGCTCACATGTATAATATGGGCAGTTGCTTTAAATGTGAAAGTTTGATTCATCCAATTCCCAAACCTGATTTGAAAAATTGCCAGAAGATGAATGAGTGCATATACAGCCTAAATCAGTGCTATGTAACACAGAAAACTAGTTCTCCTATTACCTACTCAATAGCTCATATATTATTACATCACAGTATTACTGGAGAAAAAGGAGGACTTTATGTTAGTCTTGTTTTCCAATAAAAGCCATGCCAAGAAAGAAAAGAAAGCAAATCCATGTCCATGTTCCTACAGATCACTGTAAAGCAATTTTTTTGAATGAGTTATTGAATCCCATAAGAAGTCTTCTACTTAAAAACTTGGTAATCTTTTTTTTAAGTTTTCCTTATCCCAAGAGATATTAGAGACACAGCTACATGTAGCAACTGGAAACATAAATGCTGCATTATTTGTACTGTTTCTTTTGTTGGAAGAGAAGGCTGTGTTAATTAGCGCACACTGACTATTCATGGAATTTGGTCTTCATCTCCGATTCCTTTTGCACTCTGTTTTTTTCCGTGCTATCAGACATTCCTTAAACACAAAAGTAACAAGCTCTTTTCTCACATTCATGCTACATGCTTGGAAGCAAAGTTAATCATATGTTAGTAATTAACCTGTAACCTTCAACACCTAGCAGTTTGGATAAATAGTGCTGTAGCTTTAAACTCAGGAAGTTAAATCAGCATAGTGGAGGACAGCAGCATAAGGTCCAGCCCCTGAAAGCAGCTTCAGATACCTCGCCCAGAATCATTGCAGAGTGACAGGCAGCACTGATGGGTCTCTGCTGAGAGTTTCATCAACATGACAAAGCACATGGCCCTCTCTTTCCTCTTTGTTCTTGGTCTGGCAAGCTTATCTTCTGCAAATCGAAAACTTTTAGTGTTTTTGATTGATGGTTTTCGCTTTGACTACATCGATGATAATGAACTGAAGTCTCTGCTTGGCTTTAAAGAGATTGTGAACAAGGGGGTGAAAGTGGATTACCTGACCCCTGACTTTCCTAGTCTGTCTTATCCAAATTATTACACACTGATGACTGGTGAGTACTTTACTTCTATTTGTTGTGATGCTTTTAAAACTTGTCAGCTTGTTATGCTGAAGATAAGCTTGGGTCATTGGTTTTTGCCATGCAGAGGGATGAAAATACTGAAAATGAAGCTTTCAGCTATGCTATTGTCCCGAGTTAGGCTTAAAAGTATTACCGAATCGACTCTGAATTTCTATTAGAACAAGCTACATACATGTCAGTTCTCTCCATTCCAAAGTGTAATTTGGACCCATGCTGTTTAAAAACAGCGTTGCAGAACAGTTTGCAAAAAGTTTGCTTTTCACTAGCTCACCAGCTGTACAGTTGCTGTTACTATTAGCTGTAGGTAGGGGCTTCCTCTTCTCTTTCAATTTTTTCTTTTTTATATTTTCTCTGAGGTATGATACATACAGGACCTGAATCAAACACTTTTTATGCTTGTCTGGAAATCTGTAATGCTTGAACTTTATTTTAACTACGTGCTTTTTTCAGCACAGTTGGAAAATAAGAATATATGAGAAACACATGAAAGATAAACATACAAAATGTACCCAGAGACTCAACTTAGGCGGTTACTAAATCCTAACATAAACCGAGGATGACTAAAGTAGGTCTTGTTTCTAGAAAGCAGATGTGTTTTTAGAAAGGTCTTTGTTAAATTACTCCTTGAACCAAGCTGATGCCCTGTGTTTGCAGTTAGATCACAAGATTTGATAGGACTTTCTTAACTTGATCTGAAATTTCTATATTAGTGAATATGAAAAATCCAAGGTAATGATTCTTCTTTTTTGCATGTGCCCATTACGCTGCTCCGTTTTCTGATTGTCAAAGGAAGGCTTTAACAAAATAGGTGGAATGCATGTGATTTTACAAAGGCCTATTCACTTTATTTCCACCATCTCTTTAAAGGTTTATTTCTCTTTAACTTAACATGATGATTGATCTTTATACAGTAGTCAATACAATAGGAAAGTTACTTCTGGAAAATAAAGTCTGCTAAAACAATCAGAAATGAAGAATTATTGTGTCCAGGGTGTTGACTCTCTCAGATATGATTTTTCCCCTCAGTTTCTCACCAGACATTCCAACTAACTAGAGGCAGGGGGAAAAAATCTGTTCTTTTCTGGATATGGTGTCCATAGAACAATACAAAGCCTTCAGTTCATATATTACTTGTTGGGAAGCAAATAGATGCCATTGTAAGTCACAAAACTGACATCAGTTGTGCCTAGCTTGTTTTGAAACTCCTTAACCCTTTCCTTCCTACCTTGGGAGAGAACTCCCTTTTCGGTGCTCATCCTGGCTTAGAAACAGCACAGATTACTATATTTATTTGTCAGTTCAAGTGGAAGGCAATGAAAAATTTTTCTGGAAGGTAAATTCCATTACTGAATATTAAGGCATAACTACACCATGAACATTTAATCGTTCTTTAGATATATAAATTATATCTTTCATCTGTAATTTCAGCAAACCAAGTTAGCACTCACATCTGCAAAATCTGCGTTTGCCTGAAGTTACTAACTGCCTCCAGGTAGTTCCACTCCAAATGGGCACCTAGGGCCTCTGCTGAAGCCTACCTCCTACCTGCAACACTATGTCCTGCCCTTTGTGCAGCCCAGTTTCCGACTTCAACGTCAGGCTGTGAGCAGGGCCCACATGCAAAGTGCTACTTAGTCCCACATATACAACCTAGCTACTAATTACCAGGCAGTATACCAGCTGTAATCTGTTATGCCACGTTGCACTCTACATGTTGCCCAGTTAATATTGGTGTGTTGCAATCCTCCAGTTCACTTCATTTCAGTGTAAAATTATTAAGTTCAAACTAATAACAACAATGATTACAGTTGCCTAGTAACATACTGTAAGTGTGTGAATGACTTGTTCAGCTGTCAGAACACGACAGGAAAACAACATAATGTTCATAAGTGTGTGATAAAGGTTGTTAGTTTAAAGAGGGCCCCAGACAACTGCTTAAAGCAGTGAGATCTCTGATGTTCAGTCTGAGAAATTACTGTGACATGAAAATCTGCTGATGCCCCCTGCAATTGTTAAGAACCTACTGATATGAAATGCAACTCTTTAAAAACAACCTAAACAATCTTGTTCATGCCACATTTCTTGTATTTCATTATCTATCAACTTTCTCTTGTTAAGGAGAATTGCACAAAAAGAGGATGTGGCCTTCTTTTTAAAAGTTCAGCTGATACTGCCACTGATGCTGTTTGGTCAGTCTGATCCCAAGCCCCTGTTTGGGAAGTTACAGTTACTATGAAAATTTATTCTAACTTCACTGGAGACTCTGAGCTCAGGTGAGAAATAAGTAGAGGTGTGAATAAACAACTGCAGTAAAGGGAGAGGCCTTACTTTTCGTACAAAAACCCATAAAATGAATGAATGAAAACATGCAAAGAAAACGTCATACTGAAACAGAATGGTTTCTAAGTAAGTCATTTTCTGTTTTGTATAAAGTGGCGACAACTTTCTAACCTTTAGCATAAGAGCCAAACTGGAAAACTGCATTGTCTTGCAACTGGGAGGGGACTCAAGCCTGGGATTGCCAGGTGATGGATATCAGGAAAAGTTCATGTCCAAGAAGATGGTGTTTTGGAGGGTTTTTCTTGTAAAAGCTGGATAATTTTAATATTGAAGTAACTTACCACATACAGTAAAAGTTCTGTTAAGCGGCATCTTACAAACCGGCATGCTCCACTAACTGGCATGCCGGCTTTTAAGATAAAGTGAAACCAGAAGTGCCCACGGTGGTGGGCGGCAATGCAGTGGGAGGGGTGGTAATGCCGTGAGAAGGGTGGAGGGACACCCCAGACGTGGCCGGAGAAGCGGCGTCCGGGGCCACTCAGTTAACTGGCGTATTTTGTTATCCAGCATCCCCCATTCCCGGGGGGGATGCCGGATAACAGAGCTTTTATTGTATAACAATAAGATGGATAATGGGAGAATGCTTACTGGTAAGAGGTAAATCGTTGAGATGCTCCATATAATGGGTGCTTGTTGAGGGGGTTTCAGAGGTTGGTAACACGGAGACTGGGTAGTTATGGGTGACACATGATGCTCTAAGGGAAATTCAACTGTACTCTGCAATTTTGTTTGCAAGCTAGAGGAGTTAAGGTCACAAAATCATCTTGGATTTTTATCCTTCCTAAAGCCTATATTTATGCAGATTAATATTTTCTTTTCTCCGCCTTGTAGCTGCATAAATCCTTCTGTCCAAAATAAATGGAATATTTATGATTCCACAACATTACCCCCTACCTCTGCCAGTTATTACTTCATAGCAGTTATGCAATGTGCCTTGGAACAAGCTGCCCAAGCTGGTAGCTTTGGGGTCTAATCACCTAGGCTAGGGACAGACATTACACATAAACCAGTTTAAAACTGGTTTAAACCTGTATCAGAAACTGGTTTAAACCTGTAACAGAACAGATATTCAGTGCACATAAACCAGTTAAAAAATGGATGAAACTGGTCTGAGATAAATCTGGTTGAATGTAGTATCAGACTTAACTGATTTGGGTCAAACCATTTTATTCAATGCCTGTCCTAGACCCCTTCCTGGTTTAAGGTAAAGCAGAGTCTGCCAGCATTCTGGCACACTCTCTGGGCTGGGCAGGGCTGTCTGCTCCAGAGAACTGGGCTGGCCCCTCCCTTCTGCTCCCTGGCTACAGCTACGGCAGAGTTTGCAGGTACAGCAGGGCCTGCCTGGCTTCCTCCTGCTCCCCTCCTCCTCCTTCCCTGCTGAAGGCAGGGATTCCCCCTTCCCTCTGCATTACACAGACACCTCAGCATTAGCTAGCATACCACATGCTGGCTATGATCTGTGCTGTGGTAGACAGGACAAAGGCAGACAGCACAGTGTCAGCTTAGGGCTTTTGGGAGCTAATCAACAGGTAACACATAACGTCCCTCCATTCCCTCCTTGGAAAAAGTTGTTTAAGAAGAGCTTGAATTAATGAGAGAAACTTTTTTTTCTTAATGGGCTGATAAACACTGTGTTACAGGTGATTAACACTGTTATCAACTCCCTGCTGGGATGCTGAGGGGGGGACCCCCCCCGAATCGGAGTTGCATGCTAGGGCCTGGCCATGCCTTCCCTCAGCTTAGCACTATTGAAGGGAAGGGAGGGCTGCTTTAGCGCTCCCTGGCTTCTAGCCTGTGCCACTGCAGGCATATGCCCACATTTCTGGAATGAAAAGGGAATGTCTATCCACCTCCAAATCAGTTCAAGCTTTGCAGGTTAGTTTAACCTGCAAAGATTGAATCAATTCAGGCTCAGGCTTTTTGAATGTCTCTCTAGCCCAAAGGATCCAAAGGCTTATAGAAGATGCTGAGTATATAAGATGGCCTAAAGCAGTGGTTCTCAATGTTTTTAGACGCAAAGCACCCTTCATTAGACTCAAGGCCTCTCTCAGAAAATGCCAGCTCTTTGTTTTTATTTATTTTTGAGCAGCTTTTCTGTTGCAAAGAACTCGGATAGACCACAGCAGGTCAGAATGTTTTAAATACTATTGATTCCTATTGGAATTATCTGGGTTTATCTTGTGAATCAAGTTTGCACACCTAACAGTGCTAATATTGTGTAGCACCCTGTGGCACCCATGAAAGGATCTCAAGGCACCCCAGGGTACCATGGCACCCAGGTAAAGAATCACTGTTCCAAAAGGACCCCCATATCATAATGAACTCATGAACTCCCATTGAATTCACCAACAGCTTACTGCATGCAACACCTCATAGGGACCCTTAAAATTTAGGCCAGTCAAAATAATTGATGGACAGTATCATATCTTAGCTAGAAACTAAAACAGAATTGAATTTTTCAGGATTCCAACAACAAAAATAGTCATTTTTGTCACATCATTACTTAGAACAACTTGGCAAACCAAGCTGCTCTGAAATATGACTTTCCAGAAAATACATTTCTTTTAGCTTCCAGGGACAGGAGAGAGATCTCACTTATACAGATTTCAGCTGGTAGAAAATTGTTGGAG